ACAGACATTAGAAAAACCCAAAAAATGTGCTTCTACTTGGTTTTTAGTCGATTTTTAGCGTGTTTTTCGTAAATTATACTACGCAGGTTGAAGAATTGTACAAGATCGGATATGATCAGATGTATTGTACGATCGTACACGAATCGGTAAATGAATAATCGTACAAATTCATACATACGAAATGGTACGATCGACGTCCGAATCATGGTCCCTGGAAAGTCACAGGGTCCAGAACTGAACAGGGAAGAACTGGTCGAAAGAACTGGTTACCAGTTCTTTTCAAGAATTAAAAATAAAATAAAACCGATATAGCTAGTTATGTTGACTTGGTTTAGTGAACTAAACACACTATCTACCTCTGGCGCACTACACATAGTCAATGTAAGTAGGTTCATCGCAGAGATGGGCGAGTACGAGTATAGTCGAGAACAAAATTCCTACTACTCGTACTCATACTCGGGACTTTCTTTAATGAGTATTCCAAAAAATACTCGAGTACTTCCCAAAAAACTGGTGACCGTTTTTTTACTATTTGCGTATCAAAAATCGATTTATTCGGAAATTTTTTCCTATTCACTGGTTTTTTCAGAAAAAAATACTCAAGTACTACTCGAGTACTTTTCAGAAAATACTCGTACTCCTACTCGTACTCGATCTTCAGTACTCGTGCTTAGAATCCGTGTACGCGTCCATCTCTGATTCATCGGTTTTATTTTGAATTCTTGAAAAGAATTGGTGACCAGTTTCCGTTGTTTCGAAAAGAACTGTTACCAGTTACCATTCAAAAGAAATGAACTGAAACTGTCCCACCCCTGTCATGTATGGAAGATATAAAAGATTTAGAAAAAGAGTCGCTGAATTGGAAAAACTGTAGAAATATTCCAGTTCATTGGATAAATCACATCAAAACAGGAAAAAGGATTTAAAAAGAAAATAACATAAATTCCTTAAAAAGAAACAAAAAGAGTATTATAAAAAAATGCGCTTATTTCGTAAACAAAAATTATGGAGAGGCGAAAAAAGAGTTAGAGAAGCAGCCCTTTCAAGAGTAAGTCTGAAAGAATGCGTCTTAAGACACATTTTTCGGAGAATTTTCTAGCAGGTGATTTTCTCTTTTATACGTATGATTCGCGCAACTCTGACTCACCGTAACACAGCATTCGAAAGTACGCTTACGTGAGACGAAATTAAAGTGAATTTTCGGCAGCAATATACTTCTAAACAGAGTTGCCAGATGCTTACATCAAAAAAGCGAAATAAAAAGTCGAAAAAGCAGAAGTTTTCTTCCAAAATGCGGAAACGCATTTTTCATCGTATTAGTTCATTTTTCACCAAATGCAAAGGGTATCAAAAAAACATTTTCTAGCGCTTTGTTGTGGTTTCACTTAAGAAACACAAAAGAAGTACAAAAAATCAATTAACCCCCAATTTAAATCGATATTGGCTTTTTGTGGATGTGCGTTTCTGAGCAACCATCATAAATTTCAAGAGTTATGTATGGCAGGATAAAATTTAATTCGGAACTTTTCCGCCTACGACAGCACTTAATGGTTAAGATTGTCTAACTGAGTTGGCTTCCTTGAATGTTTAGTATTTCACTATTTTCCACACTCCCTTTCAGTAGGACTTGAGACAAGCTAATGTTTTTCTGTTAGCGCTCACACCCGGGGCAAATTTCTGATTTAGTTTTCAAAACAGTGCGTATCTATTTTATAAAAGTTGCAAAAGCATTGTTTTGACAGTTCATTTAGCCGTTTTTTTTTTGAGAAATTTTTTATAAAATGTAAAAATCTTCATTGCAGAAAAAGGGCAAAAACTGCTCGAAAAGCGGACAATTTGCGGAAAAAACTACAGAAAGCGGAATTTGTCCGCAAAATGCGGACCATCCGGCAGCTCTGCTTCTAATACTAAACAAGTCATTTAAATTCGAAATAAAGCTTTTTTTAACATTTCAAGTATAAATCGCAGCAAAAGCAAAAAGAATGATCTAAAAAGTACGATTTCGACTCAAATCGATCCTACAGTACGAATCGTACCACTTCTTACTTCTCATATGATCTTGCACAATCCTGTACGATTCTTCGATCTGAGTATTTCTTTGTTATTTCTGATGGCTGTGAGTTTGCAACGCAGATCGTGGAGAGCTGAGCGATTACTCGTTTTGTTCAGAACTTTAAATCAAATTCAGTATTCAGATTTGACCTAACTGCTCGGCTTCATCGAAAAATTTCGAAAATATAGCGGCTGCCAGCACTGTAACAAAAATTACAGAGGAAATACCGTATCGCTTCAGTCTCGACAATTTTCTAACCCAAAATACAGTTTTTCAATTTTAGCTGTTGATATTTTGAGATGTAAAAAAGAGAAGGTAGCCTTTTTGTAGTCCTTGGAAAGCTCTGTCAATTGGTTACCGTTAAAACTCTTCATAATCACAAGCCATTGGTGCAGAAATTTTTTTCTTTTATCCCTTTTTTTGTCATCGAACATCGTTTTCAAACTACACTTTTGAATCATTTAAGAAAGTTTTTATAACTCAGCCAAAACCAAACACTTTGAGACCATATCTATTTTACTTTAAAGAAGAATATTTCTTCTATCACATTCGAACAGAAAAAGTTCAATAGCACCATTTCTTTCTTTTTTTCGAAAAAGCTAAATTCCCCCTTTTTATTGGTAAATTTTCCCCAAAAATCGTCTTTTGTACCAGAGAACATGTTTATGGGAACTAATAATACATGAAAAGAGAGACGGCACTTCGAGGTACTGTAACATTAATTTCTACTCCACTTGTTTTATGGGACCGTGTTCAAAAAGGACTTTTTTTCGTTGTGTTTTAGATTAGAAAATTGTCGAGACTGAAGTGTCGCAGTATTTCCGCTATATTTTTATTTTATTTTCACAGTATATAGAAAAATGGTCAATATGTTTTTTTGTGGAGAATGTACTGACGACTCTTCTGCAAAAAAACACATCTAAGGGAGTTTAAAGGAGTGGAGAAAACTTGAATATACGGAAACCATTATTTATTCTAGACCACTCGTTACTTAATTTCTTCAATATATGCGTAGAGTACCTTTTCCAATGTTTTTTCTTCTAAATGTCTCGTACACATAATTTTAAATTAAGAAAAAATCGTAAACATTTATACGCCTCTGTCAATTGCAAGAACTCAGTACGTTAAAAATCAGAACATGGCATGCAAAACAAAACAACATATTTTTTACCATTATGTTCTTCTTCCTGTCGAAATTAACATAATCCATAAATAGCTTCTTCTTGAAACCAATAAGACGGAGCCAACAGTGTTATTAACAGAATTTATCCGCTGAGCGTACCACTAAGCTCTGTTTTTCCAACCAAAGCATATGCGTACGCTCTGTTTTTTTTTCGCAAAGCGTACACGTTTCAAATCTAAAAATGTATCAGTTAGGCATCAGGAATCAGAGGAGAAAAATAGAAACTTTCTGTATACAGGATTTTTTTCCTAGAAAGCAACTTGCAAGCAACAGATAATTACAAATAGAGAAAAACATCACTGATCTTATATAACAAGAAAAAGTATCTTTTCGTATCTGACTACTCACTTAAAGATAGTTAAAAAAGTTTTTCTTATTTTCTCTTAAATATTAAAAAAATTATTAGAAAAGAAAGCGTAAACACAGTGTTTTATCTAGGTTTCGTTTTTCGGGTGTCCGGTTGAAATTTTTGGAGGGACTATTGGCTGAAAAAACTTTTGCTAAAACGAAATCACCTATTGATTTTCGGGAGGGCGAAGCGAAAATTCCGGCGGGTGTCGACTACCCTGCCTACACACTAGATAAATCACTGCGTTAACAGTGAAAGCAAAGCGTACACTGTACGCTCTGTTTTTCTCAGCAAAGCGTAAAACAGAGCGTACTTTTAAATTCCGAAGCGTATGTACGCCTTGATACGGTAAGTACGCTTTGCTATTAAAAACACTGGAAGCTAAGTGTCACTTCGAAAGTCTGAATGCAGTCTAAATAACAGAAGGAAGAAAATCAATCAAAATATTGAGATACCATTTCTGCAATTAAAGCGCCCTCTGTAGTGAAACTTAATACTGGTAGCAATAATAGAAAAACAAATTCAGAAAATCTTAACTTGCCTCTGAATTTCGTTATAGTTTCATTTCAAACGAATATTTTTCGAACCATTATTTACTAGCTGCTTTGATCGACTTTCAGTGGAAAACAAAGGAACAAGTTTTAATTTACAACTACTCAGTTAAAAGTGTGACACTGTTACACCACAAGTGTAAGAATAATATGTTTGAAATGATACCATGTGGTAATAAAAGTGTAGCAATGTTATATTTATTTATTTGGTGGCACAAAATAAAGCATACGTTTATTTGATTGGCTGCATACGCGCCATAATAGATGTCTGCCGTCAAGAAACGGACTTTAGGCGAAGACGCATAAATGCTTTGAATACATTTCACTCAATCATCGAGCACTATTTCCATTTTACATTTCTCTTTACTACTATGCTTTTCTTCTTGAGAGCCTGCCTTCTTTCTCGCATTCTTGTTATTTTCATTTTCTGACTGTTTATCCTTCTAACAGCTGTTGGGAAAGCGCCTTTGTCTTATTCTTCAATGGCAAAAAAAGTCCAATTAAAAATTTTTTGATCTAGACACATGGCTTGTACTTTCTTCATTCCAATGTGATATTTTTGTATAAACGAAAAGTAAGTGCGGTCGATGCTTATCTTAAAGGCGTACTTTCTGGGTTAGTTTTGATAGTATGAAACAAAAGGCATATTACAGTGCAAAAATGGGAATAAATTCGAAGGAACAGAAAGTTTGAAACTGATCAATAAGAATAGCTATCTTTTGCTTCTATTTTAAGATTTAATTTTTATCTCTTCTGGAGAGGAAAATGAACTTAATATCTCGTCACGATCAGAATGAAAGTCAAGTTTTTTTATGTTAGCTGATTGAGAGAAGTTCCAACGCATTGTCAGATATTTTATCAATCATGGCACACCGTCTACAAGCGCTAAAAACAACTTCCATGGGTATGTATAAAACAGAAGAAAAAAAGATTGATAGTATTTTTTTTGTGATTTCTTTTGTAGGTGAATCATTAGTCTTGTCACCACGAACACCAATGAAGAAAAAAATTAAAGGAGATCCAATTGTTACTGGTATAAGATTAAGACCATTTCTCGCCAAGTGAGTAATGTTCTCATTTAATATTCCTTTGCTCATAATAAAAAACTACGAATAAGCTATTTCCAGTCTTAGACAACGTTGTTATCGTTCTTTCAACATGTATACAGATTGTTTGTATGTTTTAGTGAGAAATATGCAATGGGTGATATTTCGCCAGCAGTTCGAGTTTGTGAAAATATGATTATTTGTGAACGACAGCCACAGAATCCAACAACATTCAAATTTACAAATGCTTTTGATCACACACAAACAAATGTACGTAAGAATATTACATTGTTTGATCAAAGAATGCGGTAAATATTGTTGACTTCAGCTTCTTATGTTTTTCGTTGTTCAGCGTGATGTTTATGAAAAAATGATTCGTCCAGCCGTTTACTCATCGTTACAAGGATACAATACGACAGTACTTGCTTACGGTCAGACAGCATCGGGCAAAACTCATTCAATCTTTGGTTCGTCGCATGAAGAGGGTGTTTTGACACTAAGTATAGCGGAACTAATTTCCCTCAATCATAATCAACATTTAAAATTCGAAACAAGTTTTTTCGAAATATACAATGAAAAAGTCACAGACTTATTAATGACAACAACATCGTTTGAATCAAGGTTAAAAGCAACGTTTCTATCGACAAAAAAACAAAGAAAACAGCCACCAACACTAGAAATACGAGAACATCCAGTGTTGGGTCCTTATGTTCCAGATTTAAAATATGTACATGTACAAACGAAAGATGATTTTGTAAAGGTATGTGTTGAAAGAAAAGTAGCGTTAAATTAGGGGTGGGACAGTTTCAGTTCAGTTCTTTTGAACGGGGAACTAGTACCGGTTTTTTTCAAAAATTAAAAATAAAATAAAACCGATGAACCTACTTACATTGACTATGTGTAGTGCGTCAGAGGTAGATGGTATGTTTAGTTGACTAAACTAAGTTAACATAACTAGCTACATCGGTTTTATTTTCTACATCATTTTTTTTATTTAGCTACATCGGGTTTAAAAGAACTGGTAACCAGTTCTTGTTCAGCAGGAACTGAACTGGTGGCCAGTTCTTAGGAACTGAAACGGTTCCACCCCTACGTTAAATTGCAGTTTATTATACAACTCTAATCTTACGGTCTTTTCTCTTCTCTCCAGGTTCTAAATCTGGGACAGCGACAACGTACGGTCGGAACAACAAAAGCAAATCAACGTTCAAGTCGGTCTCATGCCATATTTACGATAAAAATAAGTCGAAATGATTTACCTGCCACGATAACAACAACAAATTCGATAAAGAGAAAGTCTTTAACATTGACAAAAAACACAAAACAACAAGATTTAGATTTAAATGTTGTTCGGTTAAATTTTGTCGATTTAGCTGGTAGTGAGAAATCGCAAGAATATGTACAAGAAAATGAACGATTTGCTGTGCGTTACAGTTTAGGTTGAACACACATTATCTATTAGATACCTTCTCTTTCTAGGAAAGTGTTCATATAAATCAATCATTATCTGTTTTACGCTCTGTTATCGATGCTCTTGCACGCGGTCAATCACACGTCCCATATCGTGATTCAAATTTAACATATTTATTGAAACCGAGTTTGGGCGGTGATTCTAAAACATATATGTTAGCCACAATTAGTCCATATGAATCGGTCATTGATGAAACGCTGAACACACTTCGTTATGCATCACGTGCTGCGACTATAACAAATGTTCCAAGAATAAAAACACCACATCTCAAACACGAAATTGAACAGTTGAGAGAAGAAAACGAAAAACTAAAGCAAGAGTTGGGTATACTCAAAGAAAATCAACAACAGTTAACTTCATTAAAACTCCCGATATGTTCCTCTTTGATGTTAACGGATGAATGTGTACAAACAACATTGATTGGTGCAGAACAAGAAGAAGAAGAAAATGATAGAATTAGTGAAAATGTAAGTTAGAAATCAAATGATTAGTTGTCTTAGAAGAGAATGCGAAAAAGTTGACTAAACTTGAAATGAGTATTTGTAGAATGGTCTTATGATCTATTTATATGTATATGTTTAGATTTTGACACAAATTGAAAATACATTGAAAAGGCCGAAAAAACGTCGTTTTTCAGAAATGCCACTCAAGGAAATTGGTATGTGAAATATAGAAGCTCAGAAGTTATCTAATTATCTATATCAATTTTGTTCTAGAAAACAAAAAGAAGAGACTGGATGGAACAACGTTACAACGGCGTTTAACAAGTATACTTGGCTCAATCACTAATGATGTTATTGTACGTGAGACACTAAATTGCTTCACCCTATCTGACGAATGTGTGTTCTTTTTTAAGGTAATGACCGAATGTACAAACAATACATTGCTGATTGAGTCAAAGATATTAGATATTAAATATAGTCTAGATCAATCAACCTTTTTAGAATTAATCAAAAGATTAGAAACCACAATTGATGATAAAAAAATGAACGAAAAACAGGTATAAATTAATTTTTTGCTTATACTTTCTTTTTTGTTCTAACTGTACTTTCTTGCTATTTAGATAATGGCTGCAATAATTGATATTTTTAGCGAATATAGTCACGTGTACTTCTAAGATTTTTCATCTTATGTTTTTTTATTACTGTATAGTAACCATTGCTAGAGCATATTTTGCTGCTCTGTGTGTTTGCGTTTTTTGCTTACGTTTTCCGATATTCCTTTTATTGATCGTTAGTATCTGTGTCAGATATATACATATTGTGCAAATAATTGTCTTTTGATAATAAATATAAATAGTATAAACGAATTATACGAATGTTTAGAGGAAACTGCTGACGAAATATTTGTTTTTTCGTAGTAATATTGTGAAGCTTGGAGAAAAAAGTATAATAACAACTAGCAGTTGTTTATTTTAATAAATCATCTCTGTTACTTTGCCCAAGATGTACTCAGTTCTAATGGTCCGTATATTTCCTAGAAATATCGGTTTTATGTTTAACAATTCATCTGGATTATTATTTTAGATATATTAGTAGCTAATATCGCAAAATATGCCATCTCCTACAAAAGATGTAGTTACGGGTAACTACTGGTTATATTTAAATGTTTAAGAAAATAAAAGTTCTGTTTTTTCAATTACTTAGAACCAACGTTCAAACTTGGTGATCTTGTCTGGTCCCAAATTGCAAAATATCCATTCTGGCCGGGGCTTATATATACCGCACTCGATGAATCATATGTGAAAAGCAGTGGTAAGTAAATGTTAATTTTGTCATTGTCGTTGTTTCTTAAACGTGACTAATCTCTACGTTCTTTAGGTGATCGCATATTATACAAAGTATATTTTTTTGATTCTCCAACGACATACGACTGGGTGGGTGAAGATCGTCTGCTGCCGTTTACCGGTGAAGCAAATTTTCAGCAGCAATACAATGATTGGAGAAAAACGGTAGGTAACCAAAATCCGTTGTTTTTTCGAGGGAGAAAATGTCGCATTAACGCTGAAATGTGTTATAATCCTGCGAGAATATTTTTGTCGTCGTATAATGACATCTTCATTTGTTTTGTAAAATTCAAGTTGATGAATATGTTTAAAAAATTGAATCCCACTCGTTGAATAAATGTTTTTGGTCCGTTTTTTCGCTTATAGTCAATATTTTACTGTTTCTTCTAACACAGATGTCTAGAAGACCTGTTCAAAGTCGAATTCCGATTTCAATGAAGCAAAAAAGATTTTCTCTTGTCGAAAAGAGTTTTAACTTGAGCTCTCTAAAAATTTGCGTTATTCGCAGCTAGATTCACTTAAATGAAGAACTATTAGATATAAAGTCTTGTATTTTGTCTAACTGTAACGTGTATTCTGTTCTAATTATTTCTTTAATCGTTTAGGCGTGGCAACGAATTTCCTAAGATCCTCAGAATCGGTTTTCAAAGACTTTTGACACCATCAGAAGTAGATGGAAACATAGGTTATCGACCATCTCGTGGCAATTTGTGTTTTTAGAAAGAACGTCAAAAACCTTGTCGAAATCTATTCTAGACCAAATAATTCATTTTTGACTATTTTCAACAAAGGTTAAAAAGTCCAGAATTCACTCGAAATTGCCCTAAACTACAAAATATCAAGATATACTCTATTTTGTCTGTATTACACGTTGGAGTTCAATAAAAGTTTTAAAAATCAATAGAAAAAGACTTGGTTTTTGAAGTTCTTTCTAAAAACAAAGATGCCACGAAATACAAGGTTTCTGTTGAAGTATCTAACACGATATTTTTGTTTTTGATTCGATTTATCTTTTCTCTCATATCTTTTGAATAATTGTTAGCGAGTGTTTGTACGTAGATGAGCGATTTGCAGCACGTCTGATGTTCGTTCTCGCTGTTTTATCCTATGGATCTTATGTCCTGCATATCTCTTGAAGCTCTTAGCGATTTTTGTTCTTCACTGATGACACTGAAAAACAAATTTTAGATACAACTACTTCTAACAGAATGCCGTTCATATACGTACTATTTTTTAAAAATAATAACGTTGCATGCGGGGTGAGACCGATAAAAAAATCAAGAAAATCTTGTTTGATGATCAACTAGGGGCTTCCGTTCACCACATTCAATTTTATATACTTTAGAGTAGTGTACTTAACAGTAGGATACTGCTTGTCTCTTTTGCACGTTCCCGCGTAGAAGAGATGACTTTTAATCATCCACTTAATCCTCAAATCACACACACAAGACATTAATTTCTCTTTCATCTTCAATGGCTTCGAAACTGAGACTTTCTGCTACACAAGTTTCGTAGGAAGACATTAGTATTGATGTCCTTTGATTTTATAGGATACTGTATTCTGATATTTCTTTATTTGTTTTATTTTAGTATTCAAAACGTGAAAAACAAATTGATTCAAGTTTATCCCCAGAAAAAAATCGTGATTTATTAAATGACATTCGAAAAGCCAATGAACTATTACCAATCGGTGTCGTTGAACGTTTGAAAAAATTTCAAGAGCATTTAGATTCATTAGTAGGAGCAGCAGAAGCTGAAGAAGATTCCAAACCGAAAGTTGAAAAAGTTATAAGATGTATGTTGGTTCGTAAAAGGTGTATTTAATTTAACTCGCTATGAATTACATAGTTATGGTATAGATTGAGGATACTGTTACTGGTTACTGTTAAGTAAGAGATATATGTAGGACTCAAGCAGCTGGACGTAAGCACTCTGCGTCAGGATAATCTCCTGTTTAGAGCCATGATTACTGATTAATAAAAAGATGAACGATCATCTTTGAAGAGAAGATATCGAGCTATTTGAAAAGTCTCAGATTTGTCAGCATCGTACACAAAAACTCGCAGCCACAAGGATGAGGATTTTTCTAATTCTTCGTACTACTAAGTAACAACTATAACGTAGGACAAAGTATTTAACCAACTTATCACCGATCATCCACTAGAGAATTTTTATTATACAGATCTTTTGATAAAAAGTTTAGATTGATCGTCAACTGCTCGATTTATCTCTTTATTTTGAGCTATGTTTTTTTTTCTTTTAGATACTAGAACATCAGCTCCTCTGACAAATACTGAATTTATTAATCATATGGTAAGCCAGTCTCGATCTAAACGAAAAGTTGAACATGAAAATATGGAAACAAACAAGCGAAAAACATTGAAAGCAACAAAAGGATCATCGTTATCATTGCAACGTGTCTCAACTATCGGAAGCAATACAAATGGCGAACGTCTATTTCTGGACACAAATAGCAGTAATTATGTTAAACAACGAACACGATCAAGTCGGTTATATAAACCAGAAGATCAGACACTTGATACAATCATGCACGTACCAGTAAGATTTTTGATAATCAAAAAAACATTGATATACGATAATATTTTCCAAAAAGACATAAGTCGAAGTTTGTAGATGTTATATTAAGAGTTTATGTCGATCTAGAATCTATCTCGGCAGTTATTTTTTGGTTTTAAGAAACTAGTATACTATAAAAATAAACTTATCACTTCTCTTTTTCCCTCGTTAGGTAAGAGAAAGAGGTCGATGCAATAGTGATCGAAATCATCTTCTAACTTCAATGACAACGCGATCCAATTCTCAACCGATAGCGGCTCCAGGTGTATTAACACCATCATCACTGTTACCCGTTGTTTATACTAATGTTAATCGAACTCCACAAACATCAGCTCCATTATTTGTCAAAATAGCGCCACGGCCATTTGATTCTACAGTCTCAAAACAAGTTGTGTCAAACACAGTTTCAGATCCAATTATTTTATCACCAAGTTCATCAACACCAGAAAAAAACGTGACACTAAGTCCCAAAATGACAAAATCAGTAAAGTCACTTAATTATACGGTAGTGCCGCGATCAACAGAGCAAGGAGATATAATATCAGCAACAACATCAACATTTTCAGCGCCAAATCATAAGTCTTCCACTCAAACGTCAGTATTAACAAGTTCACAGGTATTAAGCATTCTTTTTTAAAATCCCTTCTTCACATCATCTGCTAGTTTTTATACTCAATGTAAAGTAGTTGATTGTTTTATAATATCAATTCCTCATGAATTGTTTTAGACGATCAATCCAAAACCATTATCATCACCACATTATTCATCAAAAGCATCTTTAACAGCAGCGAATTGTGGAGTACCAAAAATGCCAGTTTTACTGACATTACCAACAACATCTGCAACTCTGACATCCAATACTGGTGTATCGTCATTGTCATCAGATTCGACTAGAACAACTCCTTCAACAACAGCCACACTACTGCATATGCTATCATCAACACCTCGAAATTGGGCTGGTCAAGATCTGACAACAACGCCAACACCAAATATTCTTCCTTTTGTGACATATGAGACAACATCTACAGTTTCATATCAACCTTTATCACTAGGTATGTGTAATTAAATACAATTGACATAAAGTTAAGTGTCATCTAAAGTTAGAATATTCTGAATCTCTTTCTTTTTTTTTTCTACTTTGTTTTGTTCTATGTTTTTGTTCTTTTAGGTGAAGAATTTATGATTATTGATACAATAAAACGCGAATCGAAATCGAGCACATTTGATGATTGTAAACGCGTGGGAGAACAAACCTATTCTAAAATTGTTCAAATAAATAATGATCGTTCAATTGCAGTATCTGAATTTTGGTTTTATATGTTTGTATTTCGTTATGTTGATGATTTTGTTTCATATTATCCAAACTGGTTACAAGAACTTGAACAATTAAAACGATCAAAAAAGTTATCAACAAATCATGAAAAACAAATTAAACATTTAATTCTATTAATGAAAGCTTATATAGAACAAGAACGTCATTAACAATAGGCTATTGTCAGTTATAATTAAATAAAGCTTATTTTTGTTGTTTCATTAGTTTATTTTCTAAAGCTGTTTAATACACATTTGTTATTTATTCTATTTCTATCTCTCTCCTTTGTTCTTTTCTCTAAAGAATTTTTTATTTTTATTTTTGTTGTGGGATAATATGTAAGACTAGATACACATTTTCTGTTGTTTCACTCCATTCATTATTTAAAATTTTGATTAATAGATTCACGACATATTATAACTACATCAGAAACCTATCAAGTATACTGCATTTTTGTTCACAAATTTTCTGATTCATAATCCGACGTTATTTTGAAAGTCTATTCAATGAATAGATAGTGATCTCTATTTTGAAAAGTAATTTACGGTACTTCACTTTTGAATTATGAGCCAGGTACATTATCTCGTTTTCTGATATTGCAACTGATAATATTTCTCTACATACTTAAAGAAGTTATTTTGTATTTTTTGTTGTTTTTCTAATGCCTCTCTTATTTAAAACGATGTTATTTTTTAAAAATTATTCAGTTTTGAATATCAGAATAACGATGCGCATTTGATTCATTTTCATACTATTTTTGGATTTTGCCATAATGAGCAACTTTGATGAATTAAAAATAAGATTTCTATTACACATTTCTTTTTAGTTACTTTTGTTGATCTCATTTGTACATGTAAACAGAACATTTTTTCTCTGCTCTACGTTTACATTTGTTATTGTTGTTGTATTTTCTTTTTTTGCTTATTTTCAGTTTGTGTGTCAGATAAATGAGAATATTAAAAATGCCATAGCTAAACGTTTATTTATCTAAATTTGATCTCAATATTTTTCTAAAATAATGTATATGAGAGAATTTTTTCCAAAATGAATTGAAATTGAACAATCAATTTTATTACCATAGGCATAAACCAAAAAGGTAAGAACTACTTCAAATGACAGATTTGCAGACATATTTGCTTAAAAGTGTGATTATAATAAATCTTAGTCAATAAAAAACTCTATATATATATGTCATGTGGAAGTAAAACAATTTGTTGATTGGAATAGACTTTTTTTTTCTTATGTTTGATGGCGTTTCGATGCCTAGATAGTTTGCGCTCTCTACTTTCAACGCTCCATCGGTCTTGATATAATGAAAAAAAGAATAAATTGTCAATAGTTTCTTCTAATAGCAGAAAGTATCGCATGGTAGAGAAAATTTCTGCATTTTTTTATGGAGATGTTGGCGAATCTCTTATCTCTGTAACAAATGTTAATTTCAAGATCTCTACATTTATAAGGTTCTTCATTACTACTTCTAGTCTATCTCAAAATAGAATGAACTCACTAATTTTTTAATTAGCGTTTAATAGATCGTCGATGGAGATTTTTTGATTTTCAGCCTTTGTTTTTATTGAAACTTTGGAATATCTGGTGAAAACCTACTCTAGGTGAAATAAATCATTTTAGGCTATTTCTTGAAAAACTTAAAATGAAAAAGCAAGAAAGTCCTAAAAAGAAACGATTCAAACTTTGGAATCTCAAAATGTACTCTCTTTTAGCTGGTTTGTATGACGATATGGTTCAGTCTGCGAAAGGGATGTGCTAGGTCTTCTGAACATTTGTAAGAAACTCTATAAGAAGAACTGAGACTTTTATTACCTCACTTTTAGATTCATCAGTGCATAGGGTTCTAAGAACTTTTCAGGGATCGTTTGAAAACCAAGTATTCGACAAAGATTTCTGAACTTTTCTTTTTATCAAAGACATTCATGTCTTGTCTATCGATTGCCGAAGACCGTAGATCTTTATCACTGATCTAGCAAAAATCTAATCTAAAAATGAGTTTTATTCTATTTTAAGATTGACAGTAGTTTGACTACATGCAGATATTGATATCTGTATATATGTTTTCAATACTCAGATCTTGTTCTCAGAACGTATTTCCGCTACTAAGTCACTTAAAAAATGTAGCTACAAGGAGGTTCAAAATGGATCTGTTTACATTTCTTGCAATTCTCTGCTCAAATAGTGAGATCTCGGGTTAGTTTTAAAATGAAAGTAATATTAATAGCTATAACGTACAAGAGTTCAGTTTTGTGTTTTATCCCACTATTTTTTGACCGTTAACTGACACAAATCAGAAATTTGAGAAACATAATAAGTTTTCCAGGAATCATACGTTTCTTGAGAAATCAAACCAAAAATTAAAAAATCAGGTTTTTGTATGTTTTAACCATAAGTGTGTGATCTCATCTTCGTAGACAAAGACTTTTCGGAAATATGAACAGTCTTGAATGGAAAAAAACAATTCTGAGAGACAGTGCTGTACATTTGATGGTACATTTTTATGACTTGCAGGAAAATACTTGTACATTTTTAATAGAAGATCGCACGATTGATCAGAAACATTCGCTCTACAAACTTACGCGTTGGAAAAAAGTTTAATTGCGTCAGTATCCGGAACAAGAACTAGTATTTAAAGATGTTTTTTCTATGAGACATCCGGGAAAAGATGCCTGAAAAACCAATCTTAAGACAGAAAGCAATACAACTGTTCAATTTTGTTTTGATTTGTCGTAGTTTGTATTATTTAAGTGTCACATAATAAATCATTTTCATCAATGAGACATTTTAGTCTTTTTTGTTTTTATGATTCTTTTTCACGATGTAAAGCTAAAGGTCAGTTTGTTTGTTTGAGAGTTTATTCAAAAATTTGTTGTTAGTTTTAATTACAGATGCTGTTCGATATGAACTTGTTCAACATTGATTAAACATTTATAACATAAGATGAATATCATATATAAAATGATCAATTTTCATATTGTTAAAAAAATAAATCAGACGCCTACTACATTCAACTTATATCGTATCACTTGCCTATCAAAGATGAATAATTGAAATATAAGTACTAAAAATATTTATTGATTCATTTTTTTTCTCTCAACATTTTTCTCACAAGTCATTATTATTAAATGATCAATGAAACAAAGCTATTTTATTTAAAATATGATATCGTATTATTAACATAAAGTTGTTTATTTTTATATTCACTTTTTGTTCGTTACAGATGTTATCAATATGTTTTATTTTTTGGGAAAAAATGACAATGAATTGAATGAAACGATACAAAATTGTGCACATGTTATAATATAAAGTGAACTTTTTTTTGCTTTAACAAACATATGGACTAATTTACAAATTAATTGAAGAATAATCTATTAATAACAATTTATTTAAGCGAGTTTATTATTCATTTGAAAAGTTTTAAAGTGTATTTTAGTTAGATACACTTATCATGTTATCGTCACTGATGATTCATATAAATAATTTAAAACTAATTCTGAATCAACTAATCAGTTGTTGACAATTATTTTGCCATGAGGTAAATGAAGAATTAGTTGATATACAATTATTTTCATTTGGATGTTTGAGTGTCCAATTTGATTGTCCATTACTGAAAACCTGAATATCATTGGTGTTCGAAGCTTGATTAATAAAATTAGTGGCATCTATGTAGAAAAAATAAAACGTTTCTGAAAGTTGAGTAATAAATTGAGAAACTCTGTTTCTTACATGATCCATTTTGTTGTTGATAATAATATTTCTGGTGTAACATAGATTGCTGAGCAGCAACATCACCATTGTCTTGAGCCATTAGTTGAAATTCATTATTTATTGTCATTTTTTGGGTATTTTGCAATAAAAGTTCAACATTGTCCTCATATTTGTTATCCCCATTCTCTCGTGATATCATTTGTTCCTATAAAAAAGACATGTTTTATGTATGACAAAATGAATTACGAATAAAACAGAATTTTTTGACTAGACATTTTTTTACCTCTTGTTGTTCTTCATTATCCTGATTATTTTCATTCGACGATCTCAACAGTGTTTGTATATATTGTGGTAGGGAATCGGCTGATTTTAAGTTTTCTTCTCCATATTGTTGAACATACTTGTTCGGATCGGTTCTTAATACACCGAGTGGTCGTACTTCTTTTAAAACTCGAACAGGTGGACTATCCCATTGAATAATTAAATTACGAGGAGATTCCATTGGTGGAAGTGGTGGAGCTTTTTCATATAAAACGCGACGCTTTTGCTGTTTATATGGTAGCCAACGTTCAACAATAATTGGAGGAGGTTTAGCTGGTAATTGAGGTAAACGTTCGAGAATAACTGTACGAGGCAAAGGTGGTTCTGGTGGTAGTTGTTTTGTAATCACCTAAATAGGACATATCATTGTATAATCAATTATTCAAGGAGTGAGACTCTTACTTTTGATGGTTCAATTTTTGGTGGAAGTGGTGGATACTCACGAATAATTAATGGCGGAGGCTGAAATAAGATGTTAAAGGCACAAAATATTTTCATGTTTTGTTAAGGATACATTGCGATAGAGAATCTTCTACCATCACTTACCGTTTTTGGTGCTACTGGACGTTGTCGTATTATAACTAAAATATTCGATTGAAATAGTATTGTTATAATGTCAGTAAAATCTATTATCATTACCTGGAGGTAATGCGGGCAATGCAGGTTGTCGTATCTCTCTGATAATAAGAGGTGCCATAGGTGGTGGTGTTGGTGGTTGTAAATATCGAACCGCAATTTGCTGTTTATAAACAATATCGTCATTTGCTTTCTTACGAATAATATGTGGTTGTGGATCATAATTGATTTTATATGCACTTAGTGGAATAGATGTATTATTTCCTGTTGTCACGGTCAAATCCAGACATTGATTTCCATTACCATCATCAGGACAACTAGATGCAATAGCAAAATGTTTTTCTCGAATGACAATACTTGGACGACGAACTCGTTTTGATTCAAACTGTTCAGATTTATCAAATATATCTGGAGTAATACAATTATTATGATGTTGAATCTCATTTATGTTTTGTTCATTCACAAATGCTAAAATCAAAATATTAATAAACTTTTTTGTACAAAAAATCTCTATATAATAAACAGTAAACAATTTTATTGAAATGATCTTTACATTTTATAAATTCTTTTGTATAAAAGGAAATATTTTGTTTCGGATTTATTAAATATTTTTAAAATATAAATATTTTATTGACTTACTTTGATTCTTGTAGTAGTCAGGCATTGTTGCATGAACCATAATATCAGCTTGTCTCGGTGTATTCGCCGTTCGCATTCTCTCTGATGAGAGACTTGTATTATTGTAAACACCATATACATCATTTAGTTGTGATGGTTCACCAATAATTTCTTGCTGAGATTCCATATCGAAAGGAGTTGAACGATAAACATAAATACTATCTTCACCTTCGTCACCACTCATGATTTTTTGTTTATCCACTAAATGAAACTTTAATAAGAACAGGTCAATTTTTGAGGTTGAGAAAAGTTCATATTATAATTCAAATATAGCTAGCTATATTTATCATTTTTTAATGAGAGAGACAATGTTTAATGATGCGAAACGAAATGAACGTTTTTTAAGTTTTGACATTGGTATAAGATGACCTTAACAATTTAATTGTCAACTTGTTTTTGAACAGACAATCAATACAGTAAAATAACAAGCGTATATACATTTTAATGGTTTTCTAAGGCCTCTTTACATTTATATAACCTTAACGATGAAAAAGTAATTGAGCAAATATCGAGCATTATTTCTACATGTCATCGCTATGACAGAAAGTTAATTATTTTTCCACGAAAAAAAGATCAAAGTCTAAACTTCAAATAGAATAGAAAACTAAATTTTTTGTGATTAAGGATTTGAAAACGTTCTTTTTTTTCTTTATTTTATTTCCGCTACTAACTGGAGAAAAAAGCTCTTTTGAAAGTAATTATAGATGACAATATAATTCGTACAAAACTCTATTGATCTTTTTCAAACAAAAAATATTTTGTTTTTTGAAGCTAGGTCAATGTTCCTTTTAACCTAGGTTAAGGTAGCTCTAAAAAAAATGTGTTTTTTTGCTTTGACTCTAAACTGAAAATCTCTAATTAATTCCTTTATAGAAAAGAAAACGTATATAAAACACAATTTTGGTAAAAAGCATCAGAAAGATAAAATATCGAGAAAAGCAGTTTATTCAAGGCACGAATGATTTTAGTAAAGACTAGAGCTAATATTTGTTTGTAGAGTATGAAATGTCTTTTCAGAAAATGTGTTTTAGAAAAAGAACACAGTTCGATCAATATTATTAAATCTAATTAATTGTGTTTTTTTCGAAACTAATGAAAAACGTTGACAATTTTTGATTGAAAAATAGATCAAAAAGTAATTCATTACCGTAATACAATACCGCATTTGAAAAAGCGATAAAAACACTTCGAGTTCTTATAGTTACATAATTTGAAACGTATTCTATTATTGAAAAAAAAAAATACATCTGATGAGAGAGAGAGAGATTTGAAGAGAGAGTGAGAGTTATAAGAGCTTTTTGGTGACGTTTGATATTTAAGTTTTTTCTCACTCAACCTTAACCATAAAAAAAATTTTGTTTTCCATGTTTTTTGAAGTTCAGAAATTCGAAAATATCTAGAAATAATGTTCAACATTTGTTCAATACTTTTGCATCGTAGATTAGTCTTTCAATCAGATTGATTGTGAATTAATGGTGCCGTGCCATATGCCCATCATGAAGAAAAAAAAAGTTTGCATTTTTAGCAACTTTGTTTCTCATATTTACTGGTTAACTCGAAGAACGAGATTGATGAAAGGAACTGACACTCAGATTGACACAACTCAAAATCTATTGAGGAATATTGTCGGTATATGACTTGAATAAATTGTATGTAAATTATCAAGACAGCAGCGTTTAACATTCAATCTCTGCTCCACTTTATTCAATTATTAATGTTAATAATCTATTTTTATTCTACATAGCAGAAAATAAATAATTAGACAAATGCAACTCTTTTTGTTTCTCTGGTTGATGGCTATGTAAGCCACGTTATTAATTTACGTTTATATGTATTCATTTTTAGAAATAACTGTTGTACAGTGTTTTTATGATGATGTGTTAACAAATGAAAATACATTACTAACATAATTATAGATTAAGAAAAAATACATTCTTTTTAATTAAGCTTTATTTATCATAAATTTAATCAAAATTAGAAATAATGTTAAATAATTTGTCAAAATATAGTGAATTCAATGGGTTTACAGCCAGCCACTTCACAAAACCCGATAGTCATTGTCTACATTGCACACAATTTTAACCCTATTTTTTATTGTAGTCATTATTATTATCATCATCATCATCAAGTCCTTCAAGTTCACATCATACCGTCATTTTGATTAAATATCTATTGTTTTTGTTGATAGTTAATATATGAAGGTGTTCCGTTATTGTAGCATTGTGTTCAGCTAATTCATTCAGCTGATGAAATCTTGTATGTGTCCTATTGATATGGAATATTTAATCAGACAGATATTTGATAGGACTGGGATTTCATTTAATTTATTCAAGAGAACCAATAAAATATGTTTCTGATCAACAATCTAACGTAGAGGAAAAGAATGTCGAAAAATAAAAGTAGGATAAATTTTTTTTTATTTTTATACTGTGTAAAAGTATTAGTACAAGCGCCTACATCATCATATGGTTTGAATTTAGTACTCAAAAAAATTAGTATCCTTTCTCTGATAATCTAATTATGATAATCAACAAGAAATAGTTCAAAGAAAATAATTCTTGCAGAAAAAGTTACGTTCTGTAACACGTTTTATAACACGTTCATAAAATAAACTCATTTAGCTAAATAACTATAGATTTTCACTCTTGGTGTGTTTTTTTATAAAGATCATTGTGTGTATGAAAGATTAAAAAGGAAAAAGAAAAATTTATAAATCAAATAAATAGAAATTGTAAAATATAAAAGATGATCTGTGATCTGTGAAAGACAAAGTAATAATTCTATAGATAAATTAAGAAAAACGAACTCATTTTTGTGTTAAAAGCGCACAATTCTATACGGTAAAATATTAGATAGAACGTATAGTTTTTCCTATCGTGCTATCTCTATTTGTGTAGACGTTTGGAAATGATGAAATGACTAATTAAAAACTCGATGACAGTTCAATATTTGACATAGTATTGTTCTTTTTTTAAGAAACATAAGAAAGAAAGTAAGATGACAATACTCTATCAATCATACATCGGCCATCGTGCATTTCTTACCTATTTTGATGTTAGTCGGATATGTCATTAATACAGACATGCAAAACGCGTAACTCTGCTACCGGAATCTCTGTGCGTTACCGTTTTTTCTCTTTTCGTCTATCCTATAATATTCGGAAAGAATATTGTAGAATCCTGGAAAGTGTCTTGTTTTGTAGAATGAAGTGCGTTCTTCAAAATCCACTACTAGCT